CTCTCTCTCTCTCTCTCTCTCTCTCTCTCTCTCTCTCTCTCTCTCTCTCTCTCTCTTCTTCTTCGTCGTCGTTGTCTTCCTTGCAGGAGCGCACGGCGGCTTCTTCACCCTGCGGTGCGCTATGGCGTACTTCCTCTCCGATGGCGCCTTCGGCTATGGCGCGCGGCTCTCCCTGCAGCACACGACGATGGCACGTGGAATAGCGGGTACCAGCTCCGATACCAATGCAATCAGACTCGCTTTCTTTCACAACTCATATGCATGTAAACAGGTAGCGCAGCAAACTGGCAACAAGCGCCCACTCAGAACTCAGAGATATGGTAACCAAGAACGCAGTTCAGATACAAGCTCACTTCAAACCGCTATGCCGCAACAGCGCCTGTACAACTCTCTGTTCGTCGCCTACCCAACTCCGCTGTTCACACACACAGGATCACCCTGGATATCCCACACGCATCACACTGTACACACACGCACACACACACATGCTACACTCTCCTATCAGCTATGGCGGCTATGGCCGCTACCACCCCTATCACTATGGCTAAGCTCTCCTTCTCGCCCACTTCGTCTTCGGGCTCACTGCAGACCACCTCGCACAAGTCGCTGTGGCAGCGCTTCCGCATGGCTTACGCAGGAATGAATGAATGGCTGGGAGCTGCCTCTTGATTTATACTTCTGTAGCTCGTTGGTCTGCCCCTTTCCCATGCCCCTGGTGCACACAGTCCCACACAGTACTTGCTTGACTGGACTGAGACTGACTGGGACTGGGTACTGCTGACTCAGCACTGGTGGACTTTGCCACTTGCCCACTTGCCTCGGTCTACTGTGGGCAGTACCCGAAAGGCCACTTCCAGACCTTCCGGAAGACCATGTACTTGGCCTTTCGGTTCTGTAGCAGCTACGACCTTGACCCTTCACGACTGTTGCAGCTACGACCTTGACCCTTCAGAGGAGCTACAGCTATGACTTCTAGAACTCATTAGGACTCCTATCCGACAGGTCTACAGATAGAACCCCTATAACCTACAGACCTACGACGACCTACCAACTGTGGGGAAAGACACAGGTCGTGGGTTAAACTCCTGGCGTAGACACAGATACTGTACACAGGTAAGGTAAGGACTAGGGATCAAGCCCTGGGATCTGCATCGGCTACTGCAAAGGTGGAATCCGTTTCAGTTGACTTGAACTGCGTTTTAAGTGCAAGTTCATTGTTGATTCTGAGTTGGAGAAGTTGTTTTGCCATCCGTTTGTCCATGTATGGATGTTGCAAGCAAGTTTGGAGTGTGGTCTGATGATTTCACCCGACATGAGTTGTAAACCATAATTGCACAGGAAATTCAGGAGTGCAGATGTTCGGCCTTTCAAATACATGTAGGTGGTTAGTGGTTACGGCGATGCTCCACTCTGCAAATATCAGAAGCCCACGTAGCGCTACCTACTGCACATAGTTCCCAGTCAGCACTATACCATCCACTGCAGGTACCAGTCAGACTGCATAGTACTAACCACTGCACATAGCACCCAGTGCATATAGTTCTATCGACTTCACATAGCACTCACCCTGCGCAGTGCTACCCACCACACATAGCACCCAGCTCACATAGCACTCACCCTGCTCAGTGCTACCCACCACACATAGCACTACCCTCTGTAAGTAGGACCCCGTGTGCATAGCACCGCCCACAGCACCCAACCCACATAGTACTGCCCATGTAGCACCCCTTGCATATGGTGCCCGGCCCACATTGCAGTGATTTGGTGTTGTCGCATGCATGAGAGCCATGCCGTGTTGCTATTGCCTTTTCATCGCTATCACAACACCACCGAGTTCATTCATTGACTTCAAAATTTGGAGTCCAAAGTTCAAACACTGGTGGACTTCGCTTACCTCTGGCTCTCTAAACGCCTCTGTCTGAACAAAAGAGGGTTAGAAAATGACTGAAAGCCTTCCTCAAGCTGCCCTCCAGGAGAGGGTATCCAAACAGGATTAAACATCTGCAAAAAAACAACAGACAGACAAGTGTATGGCAGATAAGTCGTTTTTTCCTAATTGGGCAAACTTTTCGAGCCGTCAAGACACTGCATCTCCCTTTTCGCGCATATTTGCGACCTATCAAAACACAGCCTTGCTTACCCTCCGTTTGGAGGGGATTGACTGCATTCGTTTCCCCAAGGTACCTTAAATGGTACTCTTCTTTCCTCACACCCAGCTGCACTAGGAGTAGATTACTGATCCGTGCTTTAGGGCTTCAGGCCCCACTGCTCACGCACGGCCTTGAACCGGCACCCACAGAAAAGTGGAATCCTACCACTCGTGATATCAACCCCACCCCTGCAGGGCTGTAGTGTCCAATGCACACACACCACACACAACACCACACAGGCACGGCAATCCACGCACACACAGTCCCAACGCGACCCCACACCATCAGCTGCACTAAGACACTGCGTTCTGTGATTTGGGCCATGATCTCTAGATGAGCCCCTGTGATCAGCCTCCTTGCATACTACTGGTAGCTTACCACTGAACGAAAACAAAAGAAAACCAAAATGGAAAAGGAAGAATGGAATGGAGCAAAGACACCCAGGGGCTAGGTACCACTTACAACGTTGAGGTAGCTCAGCGTCCAGTTTTCAACCATGCGTGGCATGTGGGACAGAGCCCTGCGTTCCTTCAATCTGCTGGAGATAGGTAGGGAGATATTCAGCATAAATCTGTCAGATTTCATGTATAGGAATTCATTTTCTGGATGTTTTTGTCCCTTGAAAGTTACAATCCATTCTCTTGCATGATTTGGGCCTATCGGTTTGGGCAGCAAATGCAATTTCCGTTGAACTTGCTGCCATACTCGAGGTAGGGCAGCTAGCTCAACAGCTGTGCCCTTTTTTTTTGGTGGGGGGAACTATGCAGCGGTCACAAACATAGTTTGATTTCCTCAGTCCAGTCAGGGCATAAGTTTCAAATGCAGTTGAAACTCGGGTGAGAAGAGAAGTGGGGCCCTGGAGCTAGCAAGCAGCCAGAAAAAAGCGCCAGGCGATACCACATCAGGGTGCGGTGACAAACCACAAGAAGTCTCAAAACTACGCCGTAACAGGAACCAAGGGAGGAGATGATAGTGAAGGGGGGAGGATGCAAGCGGTGAGAGGGGAGAAGGGTGGCGCCCTGGCTTATCACTCTTGGCAACCTTCTTGGGTTGGACAGCTAGGAGGGGGGCAGTCGGCTGAGGGGGGGATGGCGCTGCGAGTGCAGTGGGATATGGCTTTGACCCTTGTCATATCCCTTCCCTCACCAGCGGCAGGTGGGTGATCCGTTCCCACCCCGACATGAGAAAGCGGTGGAGGCTTCCTGACAGATGTATGCCGCCACTTCGCTGTCCACGACCTCTCCTCCGAAGTGAACTTGTAGGAATAGATGTTTAAACCACCAGCACCTTTCCCTGCTTGAAAATCAAATATGCGCCGGCATATTCGCAAGCGAAGGGGGATTCGGTACTACTGGACGGATATGGCTGGTGGCGCTAGCCAAAAAGAGGCCCATGCCAGTTCTTTTTTTTTTTGGCACGCACGGTGGTTTTAGGCTTGGCA